AGGGGCGGCAGCCTCTCGCCGCCTCGCTAAGTAGCTTGGAAAGTTTGCTTCGAAAAATCACCAGTGGAGCTGTTAGGCTGACTTCCCTCTTCCTGAGCTCCCCGAAACAGGCCAATTGTTATACAGGGTCCAGGAGTCTTCCCTTCCCCTTCTGTTGTTGCTGTTTTTTCCAGCGGGAGGCAGAGCCGGATATTCCCATTGTCGCTCAGCTCCGCTCCCTCCCCGGCTTACTTGGCTCCAATGGAAATCCCAAAAGTTGCATGTTACAGCTGGAAGACAACTCCCACAAACAAGAATATGCCGTAGCACAATGCTCTGGTGTTATTTGTAAATATTACGTGCTTAAAACCTTGCAGACTTTGGAAATTCGGAGCAGAAAAGGAGGAGAAAAAGCCAGCAGCCCAAATGTCAGCGGCTGATGATTTACTCCTCCTGTTAAAGCAATCCTATAGCACTCCAAACAGGAATGGTTTGAAAAGTGGTACAAGCTCTGAGGGCCAGTCTTTGATTTGATGCTGCCTTTCTTTTTGGTACCAGTCCCTCATGTTGTCTTCTGACTGCGTGGACTTTTGTGATAAATAACTCTTTCATGCAGTAGAGAAAATGATTCTTGAAGAGTTGCCCAGCCAGAAAACTAGCCTAGTCATTTATCCAGCAGTACACTAGCATATTTTGCAGTCTTTTGTTCTTATTTGGCTATGGATTTTTATTTCATTTTTAAGAAAGGACACCAGAGAGTTTTGAATAAAATTTAAAATCCCACCCAAAACAAGCCTGCAAGTATTAATAGAACAGGGAAATGTGCAAACTAATTTGCATGTTTTCAATACACTTTGCCTTTAAGTCAAAGCTAACTGATTTTAAAAATACTCTGTCCATAATTTTAGTTAAAATCATACTTGGGTTGTATAGCTCTGATATGTTGTACAGTGGTGAACAGAACAGATTTTAATAGATACTGGCCTATTTTGAGAAGAGCTGCAGCATTGAAGTAAGCTAAGTTTAAACTTTTATTGCTTGGTGTTGCTTTAGCCGTGGATATATTAGTTGATTTTTATCATGACCTTCCCTCTCACTAGATCCTCCTTGGTGAGGAATGTTGTAGCACATCTGTCTTCATGTTTTTCTGGGGTGGGTTTAAATAGCACATAATATTGAATATGTCATTATAGCAATAAACAGCACCTGTAACTGTCAGATAAGGTGAGATAAACAGGAAAACCTTTGGCGTAGTTACTGTGGGGCAGCTGTTTGGAGAGGAGGGCAGGATCAGAGAGGTGGGCAGCTTTCTGCACATGAGAGGAATTAATCTGAGGCTGAAACAGAAATGTTTGTATGAAGGTGAGAGTGGAAACTCAGGGGGTAATGGAGAGAGAAACTGTAAAGTAATTCCATCTATTCAACTCGTGGTGGTGTAACAAATGGGATGGGAAGGGAGGCAGAGACCAGTCTCACGGTGTTTGACCCCAAAGGCAATAGGCCAGTTGATCCTTCTACTGTGCTGCCTCAGCTGAGGTCAGCAAAGGCATTTTAAGATGGATTTTTATATTTTATAAATAGGAAAAGGAAGTGGTTGTATATGCTCTGTGAACAGGAGAACCTGCTTTCTAGCTTTGAACAAAATGGTTCAAATGCAATGACTTAGATGCAAATACCAAATATATGAAGGCTTTGAGTAGCCTTGATAGACATGGAAAAAAAATTCTCAGTGGGCTTAAAAGTCTGCTCTCTTCCATCTTCTTATACTGTTTCCATACTGTCCTCATACAAACCTCCTGCTATTTCTGTACACACCCTCTGCAATTGCCCTAACAGGGTACCCATATTGCCACAGCTTCTATGACCTGTCAGGTGTTTTAAAAAAGGAGACTTCCCACAGTAAAAATTTCAGTTCAACTGGATTGAAGTACTGTAATTTGTACACTGTCTGTTACAGTCAAAAAATACTAAACCTGGCTTTTAAGAGTACCAGAAATTGGAAAGCTTCTGGCAAAGTCTAGAACTCATGGGTTGGTTGGTTTTTTCAAGACTACCGCACAGACTTCCTCATTGCTGCTCTTCATTTAATTTACAATGGCAGATGAACATTGGTTTTGCATCTGAAAAATTACTTCAAATTCAGACATTAAAAAAATTTTAATGCAGGAGCTGTCAAAATTTTTGTTAGTTAGCACAAGGCAAAGAGTGGTCTTTTTTCTCTTCATCTGTATGGCACCTATCACAGTGCATTCTTGGATGGACAACTCCTATGGCCAAATAATCCATCACAGATATAAAACAAACATGGTTACACAAATGCAGGTTTTCATTGCCTGAAGTTTAAACAGCCCATAGCCAGTGTTCTTCATAATGCTATCAGTCATTCTGTAACAGACTAAATGAGTTTTTTTATCACCAAAATATAGCGTTGGGTGTAAATTCTGTCAAATATTTTCCCCAGAGTAACATTTTAAAATCTTTATTACACATTTACTATTCTACATACTAAAAAATATTTGTTACTTTGTGGTTACATGGATACTTGCGCTGTGTAAATATGTTTCCCCATTGGAATGAAATATGGAAGCTTTAATGGGTACATTAAATTGTCTATAGCCCTAGGTAACAATCAGGTATTAAATAGGGGCTGGGAACTGATGAAATCTCTTTATTGTTTATTTCTGGACATCCTAATGCTTGGTCTATTGGATGTCAGAGTTTTGTAAGGAAAGTGTAATGTTATTTTTGGCTGTCAGTCAGAAGCTGTTGATGGAAACACTCTGAATGCTATCATGTAACTAGGTGAAAGCGGAATGTTGTTCCTCTTTCTTTTTTGATTGCTCTGTGGAGGATGCGAACACTGCAATCTGCAGTGTGGTGCTGTGATAGGACACCTTACCCTCCAGACTTGGAAACAATGTGACTGGCTGAGAAAGTATTCAAGTATTTCAGTACTGTGTCCAGGGCTCTCCTTGTGCTTGAGTAGCTCACTTAATACATGTTGGGTGTTCGTATGTTACAGAAACCCCTGCAGTATTCAGCAATAGTACCCTGAAGTTTGGGAGTTACTTGTGCAGGACCAAGCAAAACATAAAACATATTCTGCTGTTGAAAATATCATCTCCACTTTTCAGCTGCTTCTCTGGCCCAAAAAGGAGAGAACTCTCATTTGGGAGAGTCTTTCCTGGTGTCTTTACTGACTCACAAATGAACTTTCCCATCCACTATGACCCTCAGAGGCATGTCATCTGAAAGTGTTGCTAAACATCGAGCCAAAAGCTGCCCTTTGTCTTTTTTCTGCTTTGTGTTGCTTCTGAGATGTAACCTGAAGCCTCCTGGCCAGTTATGTATTCCCCAGTCCTCTCAGGAGTTCTTGGCCTTGTCCTCCACACTCTGGCAAGTGAAAGCATCAAAGAAATGTCTGGGCAGTCCCAGGTAGCAAAGCTGAGCCACACTTCCAGCTGTGCAGGTGTTTGCTGTCACATCTGAGCTGCAACAGTTGTTTTCCTTGTTACTGCTGCTCTGCACGACATATCCCTCTAATTGCCTTCCTGGAATGCAGCAGTTTATGAGGCTTGAGGATAGGATGGGATGGAGGAGTTAAGTTTGAGGTCCTAGGAGCTCAGGTGAGCTAGCCCATGCCTGGGAGGGAATTTTAGGGAAGGTTTCTCACTCAGAATTTCCAGAAAATGGCTTGGTGTGGGAGGCTCACCTGAGCAGTGTGCTGACCATAGCTTCACTGAATAGCAGAGAAAGGAGCTCAATTCACGGGTGCATCATGATGTGAGTATTTTAAATCCATTTCTATTTAAAAGGAAAGTTATGTGGAAAATTAAGATGAATTTCAGGTCATTTTAGAAATGATACAAAGTAAATCACCATTGGGTTTTACTTTGTTAGCTAGTCTCTGCTGTGTTCTATCTCCTTTGCTCTTTATAATTCTATTATAGTAAACAAAGAAAGGATTATTTTGCAAGGAAGACTTATGGCTGTTATTACTGACTTATAGACTGTGTTAGCAGCTGTTTTTCATGTTCATGTGTTACCACAAGAACTCAGATATAGCAATGTGGTTTACTGCTGACAAGAGTGATAACTTGTAAGTTTTGTAGAAAACATTCCTTGAATCTTATGCATAACAGATGTTAAATGCTTTATCAAAATAAAATTAAAACAATAGCAGATTGCAGCTTGTTGTTCTCCTTCTTATATATTTTCATATATATATATTCCTTGTGACTTTGGTGCTGTTGCCCTCTCACACATAGAGAAATGGCAGACTTTTATCTACTTTTATATGTTGTGGTAGTTGAGTAAGTGTTGTTCCTCTCTCTCCCTCTGTTAAACATGAGTTTTGGAATTGGTACCTGATGGTGGGAGAGAGTTGTCTCCGGCCTCCAAGACTCTTTTGCTGTTTGAAAATCTCTATGAACTGCATTAGTTATGCATTGCTAAGGATTTCAAGTTTCTTTTCCACAGTAGAGCTAGGATTTTTAAAAGAAAAGTTGAGATTTTAATTTTGGTTTTATAAAGGAAATCCCTCTCCAAACAAATGTATTTAATATTTGTATATCCTATTAAGGTTATATTGACATACTTTCCTCCCTCTCTTAAATTAGTTATTTTCTTTACTTAGTCCATTATTAAAATTTTCATGTAAGCTATCATTAAGGTGGCTGCTCTTTTCTCATAGCATCTGTACTTGGCATTAGCAGGTGGTTTCCATAAGCCACATCTGTTACTTAATAAAGGGTACAGCATCAGCAACTTTTCCCAGATGTATTTTTCTTGAAGTTGCATGAACCAGGTTTTCAGAGTTTGATAAAGGGCAGACTTTCTAGCTTCCTAAAAGAGCAGAACTCTGCATGACCCTGAGATGAGATCAGCCGGTCAGAGCATGGTGCTGATAGCACTGGGGTTGTAGGTTTGATCCCTATACGGGCCATTCACATAATAGTTGGTGTCAAGAAATGAAAACTGACTTCTGCATCCACATTCTGGTTTGCATGGAAAACATGGCATTTTACAGGATTCCTTTGATGCAAAAGTCTGAATTATACTATGTCATTGCTCAGTAAACAGCTGTGAAATCAAGGGTAGATGAAATTGCACTGACTGGAATGTAGCCTTGTTTTACATCCTCCTTGTTTCATGCTTTTTTTAATGCTGGTGGTATGACAGATGAAAAAGACTTTTTCCTCTCCCCTTCCCTCCTCCTGTCCATGTCTCTGCATGAAAAGAAAACATCACTATTCCACAATTCAAAGCACTGCTGTATCAGCAGGAGTATTTCTGACTTGGATTTATCCGGGAAGATGCCTCGTGTTTATATCTGCACAAAATGTTCATGTTTTTTTTGCTATATAGTATTTGCAAAGGAGAATGAGGAAAAGCACACAAGAATAATACTAATCACTAAGACTGGTGGTTTTTGACTTTCAGATTTGTTAGGCATTATGAGAGGCAATGAAAGCTCCATGCTGCTGGGAGAAGCCTCAAAAAATTACTAGAGCAGCCTGTCTCATATAGCAGCGTGCTATCTTGGTGAACTCTGTGTACTTGGCTTCAGTAGAGAGTTTGGAATTATTTATAAACATCTGTTCTGAATTTGGTAGGAGGATTGCCGACCAGCTGTGCACTCCCATTTGCAAGACCCAGTGAAACAGTTTTGACTTTAAAGAGAAATATCCAAAATGGTATTGGGTAATGGGAATAATGAGAAACACTGAAAATTAGTCTTAGATTATTTATACTTGATTATTGATACTTATCAAAAAATCCTGCATTGACCAAAGTGAGGATGTTCATACTATTAACATGTCAACTTTGATGGGTTACAGCAGCAGGTATAAAGGATACACATTAGGTGGATGCCATGTTTAGGAAGTTGTGGTTGGAGGTACCTTGACTTGTCAGTAGATTACAGAAGCTCTCTGTGATATTTTTTATCATTTTTGATGGAGCAGCATGGAGTCTCAACAGGTATATCCTCAACCCATTTTCCTGTGATAGTGTTCTCTGGAGACTAGCAAAGATGATAATAATTAGCAAAGATGATAATAATGCATAGTTTCTCTGGTATTTTTGTTGGTCAATCACTCCAGAAGTGCGAAGATGGCAGCTTCCCAAAGATAGTTCTGCCAAGGCTGCCAATAAACAAGAGTCAGGGACAGTGTACAACATATTGTTAATGGAAAGAAAAGAGAAATCTGACTAACTAAAGTTTCCTATAAAATCTTTAGACTTCATGACCAAGGGAATAGTTGGGCTTGACTTCCTTCAGGATTATACACAAGCTGCATGGTGCTTGCATAGGTGTGCCATTAGATGGCACAAAGTGTCCCCAGGTACAAGTGGTAAAT